AGAGGGAGAACGAGGGGGCAGAATGCGTGTGTTTTCAAGGAACGTGATTTGTTTTAGGGATATGATTACAAATTAGTCATAATGTTATTTACACTTTAGTCCCTGTAGTTTATAAAACCTCACAGGCCCTTTGTCCTTGATATCTTTTTTCAATGATAGGGGCATTTCCGAGATTAAATCTCCCTCTCAGACCATTTTAGAAGCACACCCTTGGCAACGATTTTCAAGTGTAGAATCTTTCTTTCATGATCATCTTCGTGGAATGCCACAAGAGACAAGAATTTATTTTAGTACTTCAGCATTTAAATCTTATTTGATATTTAAAATTGTGAAATGGATTAACTAAATACTTAATTAGAAACTTTATGCATTTCATATCCATTCAGTATTTATTTGTTTATCTCAACGATTTGATACCATTCCATAAATAGATTGACTTGCTTATGTTAAACTCATAAAAAATATTTACAAAATCAATTTAATATTTTTTTAAATAAATAAATAAAATTAAAAATACTAGAAAAAAATAGAAATTTAATAGGTGTTCAAGTTAAAATGACCGGCAAAACATTATAACAGTTTAAAATAATTATTTTTTATTTTTATTTTTATTTTATTTTAAATGTGGGCTTTTATGTCTAATTTGGTGTTAAATTTATCAAAATTTATTGATGATAGACAAGATTAAAAAAAAAATAAAAACCAAAGTGTACAAGGAGAAAAAAATATATTAATCTAAATTTAAAAAAAAAAATTATTTTTTATTGCATTTCAATCCCTAAATTATTATAGAGATGAGAGAAGGTCACTTGAAAACAAAAAGATAAAAGAAAGTCATTAGTTTCATCACTTTTCAGAATATAAAATCATTGTTTTTAATGCTAATGAAACTTATTCAATTAGAAAAGTTTGATGGTAATTATTTTTGTCTTTAAACATCCATCAAAAAAAAATTGAGTTTGATTTAGATTTTTTATTTGATTGATTTTGGGATTTTAGGATTATTAGGTGGTTAAGAAATGATTTTATTGTGTTTTTAAGATGGTTTTAAATGAAAATTACTTGAAAAATAAAATTATTTTGCCCAAAATCTCCCTCAATTTCTTACCATTATAGTTAAATTTTATGTAGCAAATGACATGTTGTCTACACCCTAAAAGAAACTGTTCCAAGCTCGTATATCCAGGTTTTGTTTTGTAGAAACCCAAACGTGATAAGCCATTCAGGATAGGCTTATGCTCCTAAATTTATTTTTTTATTTTTTATTTTTATATATATATCATGTGCTTTGGCTTTATTTTATATATTGATTTTTAGTTTTAATTTAATTTCAAAAATAAAATTAAAAATCTTAGAATATTTTTTTTTTTGCCAAAAAATTATCTTATAACAAAATACAAGTTACACAGTAATGACTAATTGACTATAGAACATGTATGTAAACTGTGATGACCAAATTTTTGCTTCCTACGTCATATCTTCAATTAACTAAAATAAAATAAAATTTAAAGGTCATCTAAGCCATGTGTGATCTTCTTTGTAAATGCACTATAAAAACATATCCAATTGAAAAATGCTATATTAAAGAGCTAAATAAAAAAAATAACTTTTTAAATAGTGTAAATATAATTTTTTTAATTATACGCATTTCAATGATAAAAAGCTATTTAGAAAAGTTAATTATATTTTAATATAACTTATGTTAAATTAATTTTAATATAATTATATAACTAATTTAGATATTTTATATATAGTATAATTATGATGTTATTAATTATATAATTAATATGAGTAATTTATAAAATTAATATAAAATTAATGAAGTAATATGAAAGTTAAAAGATATAATTTAAAATTAAATTTAAAATTTATTTATACAAATATTTTAAATTTTAAGTTTTATATGTTATTGTTAAAAATTTAATTTTTTAAAAGTAAATTCAAATTCAAACTTTGAAAATTTTAAATTTTGAAATTTTAAATTTTGAAAAAATTACCGCCAACATTCTAAAATTTTACAATTTGAAAAAATAATCCATCTATAAATATTCTCATATACCTCAACATTTTTTCTTATCATTTTCTTCTATTCAATCTTTATTATATTTCATTAAAATTTATCATGAATCATTCTAATTTTAATTTTTATGATACTTTTGATTTTGATGATAACACTTCTATGTTCACTTGTCAAGTTGCTACAGCTGTGGTTGCTAAAGAAGAATCGAATAATCAAGGGTGGAGAACAGAGTATCATTGCTCTATTCTTGGTTACAATATTATCAATCGTAATAAAAAGGAAGGTGAATTAAGGTTATATAATGATTATTTTGCTGAAAATTCTAAATTCACTAAAAGTCAATTTCAAAGAAGATTTAAAATGAGTCGTCATCTTTTTCTTCAGATCGCAAATTAGTGGAAGCTCATAATCCATATTTCAAACAAAGGATAGATGCTCTTTGTGTTCTTAGTATATCTTACTTTTAAAAGGTAACTGTAGCTCATAGAATACTTGCATATGGTATTTCTACAGATCTTACTGATGAATATCTTCGAATTGGAGAAACCACTACGATAGAAAGTCTTAGAGCTTTTGTCAAAGAAATCGTAGAAGTTTTTGGTGATTGATATCTAAGGGCATCAAATGAGACCGATATTTGTCGATTATTATCAATTGGAGAGCAGCATGGATTTCCAAGGATATTAGGGAGTATTAATTATATGCATTGGAAATAAGAGAAATGTCCAATTTCATGGTATGGGACACACTCTTTTTTTGGTATTGTTATTAAATTTGATATAACATTTCAAACTTGAAAAATCTTAATGTTTTTCATAGAAAAAAAAACTCATATTCACCTTCATCAATCCTCAAAACCTACAACATAACCTAGGTTACGATCTTTGAGTTAAATTAATTTTTTTATTATATAATTAAAAATATAAAAACTAATTCACAATCAATTAAATACAAAAAATTAAATGACCAATTAAAAAAAATCATGTGCATGCCATTAAACTTGTTACATTGGTTTAAATTTACAAAATACCAACATGACTCTTTGCTTAAATCGAGTTTTTAATTAAATTATGTGAAAGTTACTCTGGCATGACTTGTAAGAGTTTTTTTTTAAAAAAAAAAACAGCTAGATGCACCTTAGTCAATCTGCAAAACCCGTAACTCTGGTTATGAACTCTAATGAATTGAATTAGTTTTTATTTTATTTTATTATATGATAAAAAAAAAAAGATAACCGAATGACAATCACCTTAATACTAATGATAAAATTCAATAAAAACCTAACATTAAAAGGATTTAATTGAAAAAATACTAAAAAATATAAAAAGCTCATTCTTAAATGAGCTACATTTGGGCCTGTTAAAAAAGCTCATACATCTTGCCTTGATTTTTTTTTCTTAGTAAGGAATAGATGATATGTTGTTTATTTTTTTTTAAATAAAAAACGACTATCATTTGTTAGATAACCATTTTCACATCCCAAGCATGAACTTGCAATGTCTTTGTTATTACCGTCACATGCAAATGAATTCAGCTATGGCACGAGATTGATATAAAACGCTTAAAAAATATATTAACCCGATTTATTATTATTCATGTGAATAGTTAAATCCATCTCATGTCTTTTAATTTATATTTATAATTATAATTATAATGTTGTTATTTTTTTATTAATATGGATGTCTGGGCCAGCTTGCGTGCACCTGAATTAATTCCACGGACTCTAAAGCTAATGATCATATAAACATCCAATAGCCCTAAGACTTATAAGACTCAAACTAGTGATCTCTAGGAAACAAATCTAGAATCTGATCAATTAAGACATACCTCCAATATTATTATAATGTTGTTATTGCTTGGCTTAATAGGTGATGATTTGGGATTTGGAATAGGATTTGATGGCAAGGAAAAAAGGATTAAGCCATTTGGCTCTAGCTATTGGCCATGATATTGATAATTTCTGCATCAATTTGGCTCTAGCTATTAAGCCATTTGGCTCTAGTTATATGCTTCTTGTTTTTTTGATTCGCATCAATTTTTCCTGTAGATTATAGAAATGTCACGATAATGTATATAATTAGGAATATCTGAACAGGTAGTTCATGAAACGAGTTTCCCCCCTAAGCTTTGAGATTTGTGAGACTAAAACTGATGATATTTAGGAAACAAATCTAAAATTTAACTAGTTAAATCATACCTCTCAATATTATTATAATGTTGTTATTGCTTGGCTTAATGGCTGATGATTTGGAATAGGATTTGACGGCGGGGAGGAAGGATTAAGCCATTTAGCTCTAGCTATTAGCCATGATATTGATAATTTCTGGTATGTACTTCTTCTTTCTTCGATCCACCAATTTTTTCCAATACTTCTTTCTTCGATCCACCAATTTTTTCCATGCACTATAGAAACGCCACGAAAAGATATATAACAATTAGGAATATCTGAACAGGTAGTTCATGAAATGAAAATCAACAAATAATGAGTTTTTGCTGCATATTCAAATTATTGGTTAATTATTGGTTAATGGTTGGTGGTGGTTCTTTTAGACATTTCATATTGAGCTTTGAAGGGCCTGGAGAAGAACAGGACGGGGAGAGGCAACTGATCTTCAATTGAAACACAACCGTTACGAGGCAGGGGAGCTCACTTCCACCATAGATATGAAGACTTCGGTATTGAAGGAATGGGAATTTCACTTCTACCAGTTTGTATAACATGGCATGTTAAATGGGTGCTGCTTTCCGAGTTCCTCAGCGAAAGAGATTACCAGCGCATGGTTCTTCTACCAGTCCAAAGCCACAAGGTTTTTCTGATGCCGAAAATTAAAATGAGGTATTGTCAAACCGGATTCTCTATGACATTTCACCTTGGTTGGGCTAAAAAATGATGTGCAAAGCCGCAAGTATCAATGAGGATCATGATCAGCGACAAGATAACTGAATCATTCATCTATTTAAATGATAAATTTGGACGAAATAAAAAAACCTCATGCTTATTACCCACAAAAAGGGTTAGGACACTCTGCAACTACAAAATTGAGCTCGCTGTTCACGCCTCAATTCCCCACTTATTCCACCAAATGCTGTTTTGCCAAGACTACAAAGGGAGTTTCCTGGTGATGCATAAACGCCAAACAAATAGAACTCAGCAATGACAATGGGGATTACATCAAGTACCTCGTTGTTAATCACCACCGCGAATAAAATAAAATAAGTGTCAAAAGAAATGATGAAAGTGGCCGTAGAGTAATCTACAGCAACATTGACTCTGGATTCTCAATGTAGCCTTTAAATGCTTTTAGCCATTCCGCACCAATTGCCCCTGAAAATGACCAATTGCGCAACAGGGTTATATCATCACAATTCTCAGAGACAGCGTTGAAAAAAGCTAAAGAATATGTTTGTATGACAAAAGATGGTTGACAGAACTGCATACCATCTATAACACGATGATCACAGCTTAGTGTTACAGACATGAAGGAAGCGGATTTGAAATCATCAGGACCAGAACCGGGGATGACCCTCTTCTCAGCTGCACAAGGACAAGTCAATATCAGAAGTGGAAGCTTAATTTGGTCTGGAAGTTGTTGCCAAGTGCCTATCTTACCGGACCCAATTGCTAGAATGCCTGATTGGGGAGGATTAATGATCGCACAAAATTGCTTGATGCCAAAGGGCCCTCCCAAGTTGGAAACAGTAAACGTGCCTCCCTGTAAAAGGAAAAAGACAAAATTCATAAGGATTCACATGAGACAACAGTCCACTGGACAACTGAGACAGAATTCCAACCTCATAATCTTCTGGTTTCAAGCTATTCTCTTTTGCTTTTTGGGCCAAATTCTTCACCTCGTCAGCAATTTTGGATAGACCTTTCTTGTCCGCATCCTGTAAATTTTACCACATAAAAGCATGTCATGCGCTCACCCTAATATACCCAGAACAAAATCAAGAAACTTTCTGCGTAACAGAAAACGGACAATAACTCACCCTAATAACTGGGACATATAGTCCATTATCTGTCTGTACCGCTACATTGATATTAACATTATTATACCTGCATTATAAGCAAGAAGAGAGACATCATCTTAAAATATGGTATCACAGATGAATCATTAATCTTAAGAGTGCATTAACCATGTACTTACTGGCGAATATAGTTATCAGTCCATGAACTATTGCACTGGGGAACTTTCCTCAGAGCCAAAGCAGCAGCCTGTAGTTACAGTGACATGAAATTATTCTTTAGCAAAAATTTCAAAAACAGAGACAATCAATAAACATCTTGAAGTCCAGAATATTAACAGCTCAAGGTTATGGCTCAGATAGAGGTAAACATTGACTCAGTTTTTCACTTTAAAGTATCTTAGGATAGTTCCAATGTGAAATGTTGGTGCCTTGTGGTTTTGATAAATTGTCCTGTCCACAGGCCAACCACTCCAAGGATCAAGCCCTACCATCAGTTTGAGTTCAAACTTCCACTCAGATGAATTGAGATTTTTTCAACAAAAAAAGAAAAATGTAAAACCATGCTAAAAGACTTTCCCTTTGCCACAGTTGACAATCTAGTCAAAAGAGCTCACTCTAAAATGTAAAGTGAGTTAAAGGGCTGCTTCTACGTTGCGATAGATTTTTTATGCAAAATTTCTGGGATGAAGTCACTTCTCGTGTTTCCAAACAATATAGTAAGTGCTTCAAAACTACACATGAAGAAGTATATTCGTATACCTTGATTACAAGATCATTTACAGATATTCTCTTCCCACCTGAAGTCTCTTGTATCGAATTGAGTTGACTCCGCAAACTGTGCCCAAAAAATCTTTTTTAAATATCATGGAACATCAAAGATTAATTGCATTTATAAGATGACAAAATCTAACACTAACCCCATAAGTTTATCGACGCATGTATCCACTGTTAAATAATAATGGGGAATAGTTTGCTTTGAGAATAACAAGCGTGAAGCTGTCACCTGTCAAAATGATACCAAGTTTTGCCTCAAGACGAACTTTGATAAAGATAATATGTGGTAGACAAAAAGAAAAAATGTATGTGAGAGCTTGTACGTGGTATCAACACAGAATTAAATAATATGACATCATGAGTTACTTAAATGCAAAAATGACCAAGAAACAAATCCAAAAGTTTGAGAATCTCATACAAGTTTAATGAGAAACAGTTGTCAGACTGGCTCCAAATTTCTGGGTGAATTTAGTGAAAAAGACATGGTTACATTTTGAAAAAGAAAGTTTAACTGTGATTTTTCAGCCAAAAGTTGGTATTTCAGCTTTGGAAGAACAAAGAAATTTCAAGCATGGATTTGCAAACCTCAACATCTAACAGAACTTTTATCCATAAATAGTGGACCAATGAAATAATGTTGCCAACATTCCTTAATCCTTACCCATGGATTTAGGCTAAACAATAATGGTTACAAATATTACCTTTCTTATTTGAGAATGAGGGATATCCACATAATCTAAAGCAGGAGCTGAGGTGTCCTTGGCAACAGGCTTTGTCACTGGAGCTTCCTTTCCTCGTGAAGCTACAAAATGGAGGGAATTTTTCACTGAAGCATATATATTTTGACTAGAACAAGAAAAGCCAGGACCATTCACAGGACACACTAAACAGCAGCACATAACATTTATCCATCAAATCACTGGGGATAGAGAGCAGCCAAAAAAACCAACATCATCTAGTGTAGAGAGCTTAATTGTCATACCCAAGTAATCTTCGATATCAGCCTTCACAATATGGCCATCAGGACCCGTTCCTTTGATACTTGAGAGGGGTACCTACGTCCATGATAAAGAAAGTGCATCAATAAGTGTAAATTGAAAGTGGATCAAAATCAACATATGCCTTTCCATCACTGAATGAAAATATTCTAGTTGTACGAACTACTTCAAATTACTAACATTATGATCTTCAGCCAATTTTCTTGCAAGAGGACTGGCAAAAGTGCGATCTCCATCAGGAGCTGCACTGGGCTTCGAAATTTTTGGTTCTGGTAAACTAGCTGGTTTTTCAACTTCCTCCTTTTGTGAAGCAGGTGGGGTAGGGGCAGAAGCCTCATTAGCAGAAGTAGCACCACTTCCTGACGCTGAAGGATTGTAATCCTTAAATTTTGCAATGTCTTCCTCATCTTCAACGGTAATGGCAATTACCTATATATAATATAGAGAGAAAAAAATTATCAGCACTATGTAATAGTATTATCAACACCAGAGACCTAAGTCCAAAACTAAAATGTCTAATTTTACAAAGAAAATTGTGGAATCTGAAAGGTGGGCAACAGACAACCAAAACGTGTTCAGTTTGCTTATTTCCATGATTGACTACCCTACTCCCCAAAGAAAGAAAAGAAACAAGAGATGGAAAAAGAAGATCTCAGCACACAACTTTGCCAACTGCCAGATAAAGTCAGTACCTCGCCAAGTTTAATTTCTTTTGACCCATCTCCCTTCAATATCTTTGCAAGATAACCTTCTTCCATACATTCCATCTCAACAGTTGCTTTATCCTGAGAAAATTATGTTAAGGAAAAGCATCAATGTTACCATGACAAACAACATGTTAAGCACAGCTAGAACTGTATAGAGACCCTACGGTTTCAACTTCACAGAGGACTTCACCGGTAGAAATCTTGTCACCCTCCTTCTTCAACCACCTTGCTATGTTACCCTGAAATTTCAGAAACTGTCACTTAGCAGACCAAGCCTACAGTGTTGTTCCAAAAAGATGAAGAAAGATACATGCCTCTGTCATTGTGGGTGAGAGAGAAGGCATTCCAATCTCTTGGTGTGGAGGAAGACCTGCAACATATAATAACTATTAAATAACCCTGAATGAAGCTATGTCAGAAACATGGTTCCCGTCTTAAACCCTCGCCAACAAGATGAAGAAAGAATATGAAAAAAAGTAAATTTATTCATGTTACTGTACAGTCTCCAGTTCAAATCTAGGAGATATGAGCATTTTGTTTCTTAAATAAATCCATGTTAAATCAAATTAAATAAATACACATAACAACTTCCACATTGATTCCCTGCAAACTTATCCCACAATCCTTCCACATCTGAATTCTATTTTCCACTCATGACAAAATCCCTCCACAAATATTCAAAAACTGTTATTATCTAAAATCAAGCAGGTAAAGTTGAACCACATGCCTAACATTTTGCCCTACTCTGGCAATGCAATAAAAGAAGAGTAATTTCAACAGAGTATAACCCAAGTGACAAGGTGCCTGTCACACTTCACACAATCACAATACTGTGATTATCAAATGTAATCATTGATTAAATTTCAATCATGTTATCTGATGCCACTTGCATAATAAGTGAAAATTCAAGCTGGGTTTAAAGGGTGGAAGGAGCCATGATATGGTCCGTGTAATTTGTAATCAAGAATTCAGAAAGTGAAAAGGAGATCATCAAGGTATGGATGAGATGCGTGATAACAAAGCTAGATCAGCAATTCAAACAAAGAAATAAAAATTTATGCGCAAACCCTACCTGAATCAGATGAAAACCCTCTCTTCCAGTGTACCTGTGAACTGAGATTGGAAAGAAGAGATTCAGAAGAATGGAATCATCAAGAGAAGGTGTGACCAGGGAGGAACAAACCTAAGTAATACATACCAAGCAAAATCCTTCATAAATAGTGGTCCAGCAATTGGGCTTCCCACTTTCATAATCGTCCCAGAAACATCTTTCTTAGATGCACCGAATGACATTACCTTCATATCAACAAAAATATGTAACTGTACGCAAACTGAGACAAACTTCAATTAAAGCAACTTAACAAAAAAAAAAAGTAGGAATAAATAATTGACCCAAGACAAAGGAAGAAATGCAGAAATTGCAACAGAAGGGCTCCAATCACAGCATCATGCAGCATATTATAATGATTGTGCGATGGAAGGCTACTTACAGTGCTATTAGCAGCAGCACTAGAGTACCTCCTTTTTTCTATAACTGCCCAAGCATCTGGCAATAACAAACTTACCTTAAACAAATAAAAAATTATGCAAATTCCACTCCACAGTCAACAAGCAGATGCACAATTCACACTCAAAATCAGCAAACCACATAGCTAAGGTGATAACCATGAACATTAGACACCATGTTCTTTCAATTATCACTTCCCAAATTTCATAACTGCAAGTCAAAACTTCCAACAACAACACCACACTTCCCTCACATTGAAAACAATTTGCTGCAACAACTAAAAACAAACCCAAATCCCTTAACATGTGCTTTTTGGTTATCATCTTATTCCTAAACCTCATCCACCATTAAAATTTTCTTACCAATCAATCAAAATCTACACACACACACACATATATAACAAAGAAACTAAGCATCCAAAGTACAGCATTAACTCTTACCAGTCAAACAAAATCAGCAACTGGGTGTTTGAGACCATGGTAACGATTGCTTTTCAAAGTGTTTTTTCACTCAGAAATACATTGAAATAATATTTTTTTTTCTAAAATCATTTTTGATATCATCACATCCAAACGATTAAAAAACATAAAAAAAATAATAATTTTAAGCAAAAAAAAAATCAAAATTTGCCCAACTGCCGTTTGGAATGTTATACCAAACAGGGGCTAAATAAAACTACTTGATCATAACCATCAGCAACAGATTTCAACGATTTCCCATGAATGCTAGAGATTATAAACATACCGTTTCTTTTACCACCAAAGAGTTGAGAATCATTTGATAACCAACGCGCCAAATCGGCACGCTGGTGAATTCGTAACTGCCGAAACCACAAACAACAAAAATAGTTATTACAAATCATAAGTTAATTAAACAAAATGAAAAATCAGAAAGGAAATTCGAGTTTTCCACAAAATAATTACAGAAAATAAAAACTGAACCCTGCAGTCAAAATCGAAAAAAGAAAAAAGGACAAACAAAGATGCATGCAAGAAATTTTACACAAAATCCAGAAATTCAATTTATGATTAATATTTTTTAAAAAAATTAGAAATGAGACGTTCAGCAAATAACAATAAAGAGATCTGATGGTAAATTATACCTTTTTTGAGTGCTGAAATAGGTGAGAAGCATACGCCATGACTGCTGCTTCTGCTTCTGCCGCTGCTGGTGGTAGGCTAACTTCAATCGACCGACCAGTCAATCAATCAACTTCTTTCAAAGCTCGAAATTTTGTGGAAAATATGTGTTTATTTTTTAGGTTTTTTGTTGTTGTTGTTGCTATTTTATGTTTTGGTCAGTTTGGGGTGGCTGGCTGCGAGCACGTGACTTTGGTTTTGAATTTGTTGTAATTACAAACGAGTCATTTTAATTAATAACAATGTATATATTGGTCCCTCGAATATTAAAATTGATTAAAATCATCCTCCATTTAAAAATATACCTTATGCATAGCTCCCTTGATAGCTAATTAACAGAAAAAATAACTAAAAATGTCCAGTTGTGCATTATGGATCAAAACTGCTTTGACTAGAATTTTAACCATTGTTATTATTTCAACTCTTTTTTTTATCATAGGTATTTTCAATGTCTCACATGAGTTTTTCTTTTCTGGTTTTTGGATGCTATCTTTTTTTGTTTTTGTCATTGTATTCCTTGCTTCATCTGCTTGAGTTTATTGGCTTTCACATTTAGTTTTTTTTGTTAATATGGTTAGGTTGATTATCTTCCACAGCTCCATGATGAAGATAAAAAGCTGTGTTGAGATGAATTCATTTGCTTTTGCTTAGAGTGTGTTTGGTGTTGTGGTAGTTGTTATGGTTGTGGTTTGAAAAAAATTATTTTATAAAAAGTATTTTTAATTGAGGTTGCTTTGAAAAAATAGGTGTTTAGTTAAAACTATGGTTGCAATTGAAGTTAAAGAAAAAGTAGTTTAATGTGTTTGGTTAAAAATGCTTTTGAAATTAAAGTTATAAAATAATTTTTAAAAATATATATTAATATTGATGATTTTAAATTTAACTATTATAGAATTAATTACTCCTATTATATCATGAAATAAATAATA